ACCGGTACACCCCTAGACCCGAACGGAAATACGGCGAGTCCGGGGGATAGGTAGCGCTCTCGACACCGCCACTGCCAACACCGCCGCCCCCGCCACCCCCAACGCCTCCACCCGGCCCCCCGCCCGGTCCACCCGCCGTAGGACCGAATGCACCAGCGCCATACGCCTGAAACAGAAATCGAAACACGTTCTTTTTTCCCGATTTTTCATTTTCGTCTCTGCCAGCGACAATTATAATCGCACTATTGCAGCGACAAATTATCGATACAATAACAACAGTACAGAATCCGTACCGAGTGTCCGCGCTACCAGAAATTGTGGTTGTTCTGATGATAGTGCTGAAAAATTATATAACGTTGAATATCAATTCTTTGAGTTCACCCAAGAACGATTCTCTTGTTCCTCTTCTTTCACAAAATTTCTGCAAGCGCCGCGGTAGGTTGATTAATTCTCAGGAAGATAAATTAATCTTTCAGTTATATAACAAATAAAGGCTACACTAAACTGCGCGATTATCTCATAAGTGATATCCTAAAATGTTAAGATAAATAAAAAGAGGAAATATTATCGCCTCTTCCTCCCCCCCTATTTATTTTAGATTTCACTTCCTATGTCCTGTCAAAATAAATAAAGAAAAGCGCGATAACGCTTCTTTCTTTTATCGCACTGTTTAATAGATAGTCGTACGGTTTAGTGTATTCTTCATTTTTTATATAACTGAAAGATTAATTCTTACTCAAAATACATAGAAAAACGCTTGTTGATGTTTTTCAAAATAAATAGGATAAACCGGATCGTGTATATTTTGTATGCATTCTTGCGATTACCTTTGACACTCACACGATTAAAAAGTTTTTAAATTAACTTCAAGTACTGCTATATATTTTGTATCGATTTTAGATAACCACCGCAAGTCATGAAAGAAGAGAGGAAGAGTGACGCGAGAAAGGGATATGCGTAACGGAGAAAATGCGATAACTCGGAGGCAGCTTCAATAAATCATCCATCGAAATCAATATTCCTTATCGGTTATGGTTTAACGACTGCAGATTAGATATTGCTCTCTCCATTGCTTTCGAAAAATGTGTACACTACATTCACTTCGTTTCTGTCGGCACTCCGAGCGTTTTATAGAAATAATACTTGAATTTTAACCATTGCGAATTGCGACGAACGGAAGAAGTGCGAAATTAGAATAGTGATGGATCGTTAGTTCACGTCGAATAGATGTGGGTGCAAGGTCTCCCACGTTTCGCATGTGTGCATGGTGACCTTTCGCGTAAAAAAACGCAAAAGCGTAACATATTGCATTATCGCGTTTACGCAACAAGAATTATTGATAAGCGACGTCTTTGTTTCATGCGACACGACATTTCGAAGAGTAATGCCTCTTGAAAATAAGCAACATGTACGGATACTCTTTACGAAGATCTCGACGAAAGAAACAAAAAATGTCCGAAGCACTTCTCGCGCGCGCGCGCGCGCGCGCGTATAGAACACACGCGCTTCTGTTGATACACCATATATAGATATATCGCTACGGATGAGAGAGAGCGTAAGTGATATTAAAGTTGAGGCTTAACGACTCTCAACTCCGTTCAATTAGTCAATATTTTCGTTCCAATAAGTCTCGCAAAATTCTAAGTGTTGCGCATATTATAAATATTAATAAAGAGAGATGACTAGTAAATACAATAAATAATAGTTAATCTATAAATGACAAAGTCACGAAAAAAAATGTATATTATTAAAATCAATGAGAGAATATCAGACAAATGCAGATGTTTGCATTAAAAAAATATGTTTGTCAGAAAAGAATATCCATCTCAGGGAAAAGAGGGAATGAGAACCGCTTCCCGAAAATATCATCCGAGGTAAAGTTTTGGGATTACGCTGGGGATGCCGGAGGGTGAGAGTGGAGTCGGGCGGCGCGGAACGAGTAACTTTTTCTCAGATAAATTTGCTTCTACGACTGCAATAATTATTGCGCTCCTATTTCTTACATAATCCCGCCTCGTTTAGAACTTCAAGTCGGCCGCGCAACAAAGAAAGAGATCTCGAATATTTCAGCTACCCTCGCGCGTCGCTTGGCTCGAATGGGGCACGAACAAAGCGCGGTGGTTACGCATACGAGGAAATCGCCGCGAATCGCATTGTCGGTGTGAAGGTCAATATCAAGAGATCACTCACCATTCCGTTGTTGTCTATTGTGGAACCATACGGCGTCTGAAAGCCTGGTTTTTCTGAAACAGATAAAAGAAACAAAAATATGAAAACCAATTCCAAGCAATGTATGAGCGATAAGTTTTTTATCAAGAGATATTTTTATCAAAAGATTTTTGGGCCTTGTAGTTCATATCATTGTGTCTAAACAACAAAAATATTTAAATGATAAAACCTGATATCTATTATATCTATTATTTGATAACTAAATACCAAAAATACAAATCACTTATTTCTACTCTATAATGTATATTATATTGAATATCAAAGACAAATCTTTATAATACATACAAGACTCATGTATAAATTTAACATCCTGTGTACCGTTCGCGCATAATCCTTCGGCCAATAAAAGCACAGGCGTTCCGCGATACTAAAAGGAAGGCAAAGAAGGGAAGTATCTGACAAAATATCCGCAGTGTCTGGTGGGGGATAAGGAAAAAGAATATTCCACATCCCGGAGCGCGCAATATTCTTGGCGCGTAAGTCGCCGGGCGAAAAGGGGAGCGAAAAGAAAGTTCCCCTCGCGCGAGGAGTCGATGCAAAATTAATGCCAGGCATAAATTCGCGATGCGTCTTTATAAATCAAAACCGCGATCGCGCTAAGAATCCGCGCGCGCGGGGATATATACGCGCGTTTTCCACGTTGCGGCTGGTACGCACGCGGAATAAACAACGAGATAAACATTACGAGGTTGCCGCAGTCCGGAGCTTCATCCGTTATTAATGCCCACCCCGTACACGTACACCGGAGGAACGCGAACCTATGCGCGAGGCGCATCGTGTCTTGCGGAGAATTTATGAGGATCGGCTGGATTTACGTTTCGGAAACCGCTCGGAAAGAATTGTAGGGCGACGCGTTGCCGCATCGAGATTAATTTTCATTCGACGAGATACGCACCGGTGAGTATGCTCCGTATTATCTATAAACCACCTCATTTTTCATCGTCTCGATACAGTTAACATATCATATAAAAAGCTTTTGAAATAAAAATACTAAAAAAAAAATACACGATTAAATTTAGAGAAAATTAAAGAATAAGTAAATGAAAAAGGAATAATTGAATTGTGTGAATCCCTTCTCTCTCCCCTCATATACTTCAAATTCTTTTACAGTCAGAATTCGTTAGACTAAAAGCTTCCGAAACGGCATTGCACTCTGAAATTCGCAGAATAACATTGCAGCGGAAGAATTCATATACATCCATGTGCATACATAGACGCCGGTGCATGCACGCACACGCACCGCGAATATATACGTATTATATTATGGAGAATATAGTCGCGCGTGGACGATAGGGCGAGTGTCCTCGGACGGCATACGATCGCCCGAGATAACTATGAATCCTAACAGTTTCGGCTTGCTCGTGACATGTTTGCCGAAGCGTGCGGCACCGACTCCGCAATATCATGCATCAAAGGACAAGCTAAACCATGGTCCATCGTGTCATCCTCAGAGCCGGTGCAAGCCCGCTCGACCGTTATGACGTAGTGCTGAGCGCCGGGCCTCCATGTCACGACTAGTTCGTCTTCCGCGTTGTCTCTGCCGCCGTCATCCGTTCGGTAATTGTTCGATGAAGAATTAGCCGGGGATATGCTGCTAGTTGTGCGGGTGTCGGCCTCGGTCTGGACCGTACGTACAAACCCGCGCGTAGACGTCGGGGAACGATCGCGATTTGCGTGTAATCCGTCGCCAACGGCAGACCGTCATATCAGAAACGCGTTTACGCGTGTCGCGAGAAATTTTCTTTTCAGAAACATTTGAAAACAATTGATCTTACACACGCGATAAAAAGCGTTATTAATGACGCAATATATAAATTAGTATCGCTTAAAGTTGGACAGTATATTTAGAGAGGCGTTTCTCATTAAATCTTTAGCAAGATCCTTTTTCTCTTTTTTTTTCGCGTTCGATTTCCCGTACATGCTCGGACGAACGAATGGCCGGAAACCGTAGATTAATGTGATACTTACACGAATGGAGGAAAAGGAATAGCCCGATAAGGAGTGAGAAAAAGGGCGAACGGCAGCGCGTCGTCTAGGCGAAATTTGTTACGCAATACACCGACGATATCCGGTGCGATAGTATCCGTATAGTTTTCGGTCGACATCAATTCGGTATTACACCTCGCGATTCGGGTGACACGACCTCGAAAACCGCTGTACGGCGGGCGATTTTCAGCGGGCGACCACGATGTGTCGGTCGTGTTTCACTCCGCCGAAAATCCGCAAAGTACCAATCGCATAATAGAAGACACGGCGAAAGCTGGCCGCTATCATACATTTGATAAATTATTCTAATTTATAGTTGCGTTAAATCATATCCAAAATCGACACATGTCAAAATTTATATTAATAATGCCATACAATTTTGAACTTTCGCAGACGTGCGCATTTTATCTAGATAATTCATGTATCGTAATTATATCATTCTAAATATTTGTAAGATACATAAAAATTTGAATGTAAAACTCATATAAAATAAACTAATCGACAAAATTATAGTTTTAAATTTGTCACCAATAATCATATTTCATAATTATCCAGTTACGATGCATTCAATTCGAAGTATAAGACCGGAAGTATGATATCGGTGTATTCAGACACACTTGTGTAATTCTTGCACACCTGCCGCAGTGAGATATCTAATCAAATAATGAAGGACTTACATAATCTG